CTGGTTAGCTGGTTAGCTGGTTGGCTGGGATTTGCAGAGGTGGTGCAGGGTGATGCAGGGCATGTATGTAACAGGGAGCGGTTACCTGGGGCGTCAATGGTGCAACGAGGGTTCAGGGTCAATGGGAGGATAGTTTTGTCTTCTAACAGCACTGGTTGAATCAATTGGGTTGCTTCAGTGACGGCTTTGATGTTTGCTTTGTCTAGCAAAGACCATGTTCTTCTTTTCTTGCTCTTGGAATCATTATTAATATATCCCGCCCGGCATGTAGTCAACATCCAGGTTTTTTTTAAACTTTTTTGTGGCTGAGAGGCGATTTTATTTTTCTCTCCCTTTATATTTTTCCCCTGTTTGTTTCATTTGCTCCTTGGATTCTTCCTTAGTACATCATAGTAGTATGTACCTGTACCTGTACCTGTACCTGTACCTGTACCTGTACCTGTACCTTGTACGTATGTACATGTACCGTACATACATGTACATTACATATTGTGGCAGATGTAAGCTACAGCTTGCAAAAACAGAATTTTCCAAGCTCCTCTCTGAAAATTAGGAGTAAAAAAACTGCTAAAATAGCTAGATTATTCACATTTCTATAATTTTGCATGTAACGGTAGGCCTCGGGGCGCCCGGGGCAGGAGCAGGCAAGCCACCACTATAAGAATGAGTCCCGGGCGCGGCTGGCAGAAGCCAGTGGCTTATCTCTCTTCTCTCTATTTATTATAGAAAAACCAACTTTTCCGAGCAATATCACGTGCACCGCATCAAATCCATGGATCAGAAGTGTAGGATAGTTGAAGGCTGTATTGATGGAGCTATCTACTCCGTACAAAGAGCTTAATATATGTTGGGGGGGCCCGGGTTGATCGGCCCTTCTTCTACCAGCAGTGACTGAGCTCTTTTGCCCCAGTAGAGTTACCTACAATATTGTAAGTGGGAAAGGTTGATCCTCCTATTATTATGGGAGCAGCTAGCTATGTTATATAACATAAGAGATCACGTGCAGGCGGAGCGATCACTAGGGCAATGCCATCAAGGCGCTACACCCCCCCTCACATCATCATGCGAGATCTTAACACCATGATTATCTTCAAACATCATATAGAAAAGCCTGCCATGCAGTTCCTGAGTCCCTTCAAATCATGCTACATACATTAATTTCAGGCATTCTGGCCCTTTTCATGTGTAAGACCTAATAAATTAAGAAATCACTGAAATGCAATAGTGTCTAAAGATTTAATTAATTCATCTGCTACTATTTTCTTAGTTAAGATATACTTCAAAGATATAATCCTCTCATTCAGCTGTGTATATGAGAAATGAAATCATGTATTAATATACTTACTGTATACAGTCATCACTACTACAGTAATCAGATCAATTAAACTCTTATTATTAGTATAAATCTTGATTGAGTTATTTAAAATGAATAATAAGTTCATTATTATATTCTACAATTATGTTATCTCACATACTATCTCACTAAAAATTATATACTCAGCTTCATTTAAGCTGAGAGACATGCAGAGCTGCTTTGTAAATTATTATAATATAGAGATATTTATAACTTTAAAGATGAATCTGAATATAGACTTCTGATTATTATTAAGAGAATTAACTTAGTTAGAATCTATGTATTCAACTGATGTATATATTGTATTGAGTAAGTCACTTATATTATTGTTCAGATTCTTATAAAATATTCTCAGATTCTTAGTACTGTGAAGATAGTGTATAATATATAGTAGAGCTTTTCATACTTTCAGTATAAGAGCTGAGTTCTTCTGTGCTAGAAGAAATGTTATACAGGTAATATCTGAATGTAATTTAACTGTTAAATACTGTAGATAGCTGACTTTATATTAATATTAAGTCTTTGTAAATCTGCTTTTCTTCTCTGATATGAAGAAGTTATCTAGATATAAGTCTTTATTCATGAATGAGTGAACAGTAACTGTATTATTAAGATGAAAATCTTATATCAAGTATGTAATATATTATTCAAGTGTTAATTTAATCTCATTCTTTATATAACTGACTTTCATACTTAGATATCTTTTAGATTTCTTGAGATCTTTAATCTCAAGCTTTTCACTCAGTATATTTATTAATTAATCAGTATTCACAGACTGTTCAGCTATAATATGAAGATTATTAATATAGATTATTATATATAGATTCTTCTATATATCATATTATCAAAGATCAGAGTTATATAAGCTGAAAGTGAATTCATGTTTCTACAGTAGAGTTATAAGATAATTATATCAGATTTTTACTGCAGAGTTCAAGCTGTATAAAGATTTCTCAATAGTATATATTATTATATATGAAGTGTCTGCTTTGAAATTAGTGAGTTGATACATGTAAACTGTCTTCTCTAGTCATCTGTGTAGATAGATAAGTATAATATTAACTTAACACAGAGTTCATCTGTGTTTCACTGCAATGATAAACATTATATGATTTATTATATTTATTATAACAGAGATATATATTTTCTCTCTTAAGCTTTTTTTAAGTTAATTACTGCAGACTACTTATCTGAACTTTTATAATATACTGTCTTTATCAGTATTAAGATTCTCAGAGCAATTCTTCTCTATAAATACTCAGTGACTGAGAGTCACAGATTCATTAGTAGAAATATCAGAATACAGTACAAGTATTTAGATCTTTCATCTTTCTAAATCAGTTATTTTATATTATATTAAATATCTTTATTATTCTTCTATACTCTCTAATCAGTCTATTACATTTTTAAAGCTCTTTAATAAGTTATCAGTAATCAGTGAAGAGATATAAGTTATAAAGATCTTTGCAGACTGTATTTATAAAATATGTAATTCTGAAAAATCAGAAGTGTCAGAATTCTTCATTATATAGATAACAGTGATTAAGTCAGTGTTAACTTCTGTAGTTATAGTGATGATTACATTCTTTAACATTTCTTATACTTTTGCAGAGAAAATTACATTGCTTGTATTAATAAGCTTATCTGATATAGAACTTTATATATAATAGATGTAATATAACGGAACCGAAGCAGTGACTAGTCAGCGGTGTCATATAGAGGTAGTTGTTTGAGAAGCCGTATAAGTGAGCTTGACTATCTTGCTTAAATAGTGAGCTCGTAGGCTACAGAGTTATTGCAAGAATATCACAGATATGATACTTAGTATACTAAGAAGATTGTATGAGACACACAGTAACTCTTGTGTATATTATTTCTCTAGAAGAAAAAGACAAATTACTGACTTTTTGAATAAGAAGCCAGCATCTAGCTATTCTATATAGATAATGAGCAGATACTCTTCTCTTATTTCATAAGTGAGAATAGCTAGAGTGATATCTCAGCAGTGTCTCATTATCAAGAAAGAGTAATCTGCTGACCTTGTATAGAAGTAAGATTCTCATATTCATCAATCAGATCTTTCTATAATATATCTGAATAATATCATAGAGTGATTGAAAATCAGTTCAGATGAAATGAAATTATTCACATGAAAGTAATGAGCTGTGTGAAACTGTAACAGAGTCTTGATGTAGTTGAGAGTGTAACAATATTCTTCTCTTTAAGAGTATAGTCTCTATACTCTTAAGATTACTGAATTAGAAATTATCTTTGTTATATAGCAACAGTTGTCAACTGATTGACAGTGTATATACTATATATAATATAAAGAAATAGATGAGTTTTTCTGCTGACTGTATAGATCTTCTCTTTCTCATCTTCATTTAAATCAAATGTGTGATAAGTAAGTTTCTTATATATCAATTTAAAATATGAAAAATATAGTTAATAAGTGACTTGCAGATCTCTCAATATATTTCATTCTATATATGAAATTCCCTGCAAAAGTGATGTGTTTTAGAGACAAAGTTAATAGTAGTGACAGGATTTTTTTGAAAAGATCTTCTCTCTCTGTAATACATTTTTCTCTTGTTTTTCTCATCTGCAATAGTAAGTGCATGAGAGTATTATTCTTGAAGAACAGTAGAGGGCTTATTCTGATGTTTTCTAGTAAATAAACATCTTTGTGATGCGGCAGCAGCCTTCATGACTGCTAAGAAAGTCAGATTAAAGATGAAGACAGCAGTGT